ACATTTTATACAATTATTTATTTATATACATATAAATAAATAAAAAATATACCATCAAAATGCATCTGGCATTGAATTATAGTGGTAGTACTACTATCACAGTGGATAGACAGAGATTATAGGGATACTTTCTACCATGATCATCATATTATTATGTATATTATTTTCAACACACAAACACAGTTGCAGACTGCTTCTTGGACAGAGGAACTGTAATTTCTCCTCCGCTTCCCTTTCTGATGCTTTAATTTTCCTTTAATTAATTTCCTTTAACTTTCTCTTTTCAGGCTTTGCTTTGTGGGGATCCAAATATTCTTGGAACTGGAATGCTGTTGATGTGGGACCGAAACGAGACCTTGTGGCTGAACTAGCAACATCTATTAGAAACAGGACTGATTTGCATTTTGGGTTATATCACTCCCTGTTTGAATGGTTCAATCCCCTCTTTCTTGAGGATGCCACCAGTTTATTCAAGACAAGAAAGTTTCCAACCAGTAAATCAGTACCAGAGCTCTATGAAATTGTTACCAAATACAAACCAGAAATAATTTGGTCTGATGGAAATGGAAATGCACCAGATACTTACTGGAACAGCACTGGTTTCTTAGCTTGGCTGTATAATGACAGGTATATAATGATACTATCTTAGCTTTTAATCTGAAACTCTGCTCCATTTGTAGTTGGTCTCATTTTCTGTTTATTTAATTTTCCTGGAATATAAAGTGTCAAGAATGCAGGTCTTCCTTAGGAGTATCAAAGCTTGCTTTAAAAAACGAACAAACAAGCAAACAAACCCCCAAACCTTTTCTTACCACATCTGCAACTTCATCAGTTAAGATAGTGTTAATCATTCCACCTAACTCTATTATTCCGAAAGTATTGTGTACTGTAAGGGCAAACAAGATAGCCGAATTACGTAAGAATATGGGTGTGTTGTTGTCATCGTGGACTGGACATCTAACAGCGGATGTGCAGTGTAGCCTGCTTTCTGGCAGATCTCATGTGAAATTTTTCAGTATATTTCCCTAAGAAATGCTAATCTGGGCCTTGTACTAGAAAAGGATGAGAACAGGATCCCTGAAATTGCACTCAATCAAATTGTAATACATGAATAGTGCAGAAGTCACTCTAAATATTATCTTCTGGGGGATGAGGAAGGGGATTCCACTGATTGTGACTGCAGTTTTTAGAGTAAAAATAATGAACTTAAAATATGTCTATTTTCAGTCCAGTTCGAGATACAGTTGTGACAAATGACCGCTGGGGAGTTGGTAGCATCTGTAACCATGGAGGCTTCTACACTTGTAGTGACCGGTATAACCCTGGACACCTTCTGCCTCACAAATGGGAGAACTGTATGACTATCGACAAGCAGTCGTGGGGCTACAGGAGGGACGCAAAGCTTGATGATTACTTCACAATTGAAGACTTAGTTAAGGTACAGTAGGACAAATGGGTGTTGCACGCAACTTCTGCTACTTCCTCCTGATTATTATATGGTATCATATTTCAATTCCATTTTTAATAAAAATACTTGTTTTAATTAAATAATGAATCAATGAAATCATAAATCATTTTGTTCATTTGCAGCCTAACATTAGTAGGATGGAATATCCATGTTATTAATTTTATAGGAATGACTATGAGAAAAGTTACTTAGTAAAAATTAAGTCAGTTTCTTAGAAACTACTTCCTCTGTGAGTAATTGGCCAAAGACTGAGAGTTCACTGATCCAGAAAGTCTCTCTCTGATTCTGGTAACTACACAGATAAGTTGATGAGAAGCAAACAGTTGCTATTTCACAGCTCCTATTTAGAAACTGCTGATTGAAGGCTACATCTTTTGCCCTTCTAGCTAGAAACAGTTTATACCTCTTAATACTCTTTTACCTTGAAAGGAGAATTTTTTTAAACGCGCTTATATTACATGCATACAGGTAAACACTTGCAGATGCAGAATATCCTGTGCTAAGGTATTTGATGTGTTAGTCAAAGGTATTTAAAAAAAAAAAAAAAGGTTTGAAACTTAAGAAAATTAGCGGAAAGGAAGACTTGTCTTTCAGATAAGACGCATTTAATTGTAAAAATTCAGCTAGTAAGGGGATAACTGTTTACTACTGTTACTTAACCTAAATCTGTTCCCTGCAAGAGATAATTTCAAGTTGAAGTAAGCTCTTTGCAGAAGCCTTTAATTCATTTAATAGCTTATCCCCAGCTGTCTGCCCCTCAGACATGCCCCTCACGTATCTCAGTCCTTGGTCTCTGGAGAGCAGTGTGGATGTGAACGCAAATGTTGAAGGACTCTACAGAAGAATCAGCAACCTACTTGCAGGTTGCTAAGTTCACAATATGGCATTGGTGCAGCCTCTTGAAGCCAGAACCTGTAATCACCAAAGGTTGAGATTAAAAAATTGATTAGTGAAATCATTTACCTCTTTTTCTGTAAGTTGCTGCTTGGATTAATAGATCCAGAGAGCTGTATTCCAGGATGAATGAGCCCTTTCCATCTAGATTAGATGGAGTATTTTTTTTACTGTTATGTCCACTGACATGAAGATATATTCATTCTTCCATCTTCTTTCGGTGTTTTTATAGTAGAAAATTCCTACTATAATATGAATGTTCCTTTTGAATCTCCATCTGTACATTGCATCTGTTACAGAAATAGTTATATGCTACATGTATTTTACAGGCCCTAAGGTCTATGACTGCTATTAATATGTGAACACCCGTTCTGTTATTGGTTCTATTTGCAAAAGGAAGAAACTGGGGAGATGTAAATAGTACTTTCAGAGACAAGATTTTTTTGGTGAAAACTATATATTAAATTTCTGAAACTTCCTACTGTTTTACAGTTGTCCCCATAAAATAGGGAGACCATAAACAGAGGAAGAAGAAGGTGTTTCAGCTTCAATAAAAATGAAGTGGCATCTATGAGCCGCGTTGTCCTCTTGTGTAGAGAAATAATCCCCTGTTTTATTAGTAAAATTCTCTTGAAATTCCCGCAGAATTCAAAATGTTTAAAAATTTGTAGGATCTTATTCAAATGTAGATTCAGTCAGAACTATTGGTGTAAGACTCTCTTTGGGCTATTTTCTGTCATTAAAAATTGACAACAGAGCTTCTTCATATGGGAGCTTACATTTTTTTCATTGACTATTGGGACAGCCCCCAAGCCTAAACACACAGCAGTAACACAGCGAGTTCAGTCCATTATTCTGAAGTAATGTACCAGGCTTTAGTAAGTACTTTAAAGTACATGTATGGGGTTTTTTGTTGTTTTCTTTTCTTTCTTCTTTTTTTTTTTTTTTAAACCATATGCTCTGTCTGTGTGTTTAAAAAACATTTCAGCAACTTGTAGAAACAGTATCTTGTGGAGGTAATCTCTTGATGAATATTGGGCCCACTCATGATGGTCGCATTGCTGTTATATTTGAAGAACGCCTGAGGCAGATGGGTACCTGGCTGAAAGTCAATGGAGAAGCCATCTATGGAACGACACCATGGAGAGCACAGAATGACACTGTCACACCGGAAGTATGGTAAGGCTACTGAATCAAAATGGAAAGAATATAATGCAGCAGAAGCTTATATGAAGTTCTTCATGACTTACAGCTTACTTTGTATGCTGGAAAGAGAAGTATGCTTTTGTCAGTTTAACTGTGCACATAAAGTTGTGTATAAAGAAATAAGTAGACAATGGGTGTCAGAGAACATAGTTTTGGGATGATGCTGAGGCTGAAGGGAAGACTGCATAAATTTTGTTAATGATCTTGTGCTGCTTAGTGTAGCTGGCTACAGAAACTGTTTAAAAAAAAAATCCAAAATATAGAACAGCTATGTAGTGTTTCTGTACAGTAGAAATACTGAGAGAGAAACACAGGAGAGAAAGAATCTAGAAATCTGTCTAGCATACCCCACATTTTTTTGTGAGGTAAAATGGTGCGGGGAAATGATAGCAATTGCTTGATCACTAAATTCAGCCGGTCTCTGGACTCCACTCTGCCTCTGTGCCTCACAGCTGCTATAACACCTAATCTATAAGGGTTTTGGTCTGACCCTCTTCTCTCCTTCACTGGGCTTTCTTTTACTCTCTTGCTCCCAGTTAGATCTGGCTATCTAGCCATAGCCTTGAAATGCGAAAACATTGTCTCTTTAGTAAAACTATTTATGGGAGTAATAATAAAATTGTAATTAAAATGAAGGAAGTCAGGATAAATGTTTCAAATATGTACCACAAGATTACCAAGGACAGACTGTGCATAATGTCTGCTGAAACTCAATTTTTAAAAATTACCTGGGCAGGATGAAAGCTTTGTTGTTGCACAAACCCCTATTAAATTTTTCTGTGGCGTTTCTATGTGCTTGAGTATGGATATGAATTATTTCCTGAATATAACCTGCAATTATCAGTTAGTCCTCCTACCCCACAACCTCCTTCCTAGGTGAGTGAGCAGCGGTATTATATACTTGCTAAAGATACAACAAAGCGTCTTTAACTTCAGCTCTTTAAAAGTCTCCGCTGTCTCTCGTTTGTTAGAACATATTCTCAAGGAATAGTAGTTTATTAAAGGGTATGGATTATCTGAAATGAAGGTTTATGTGTGTGAAAATGTAATTAATGCCAACTTTTCAAATCTGTTTTCCCTGTCTTGATATATATCGACTTTGATATATACCGCTTTGGAAGATTTACAGGGAAAACTGATATGCATTTCTCTTCCCCATTTCTAACCAGGTACACGTTCAGCCCTAAAGAAGGCAAAGTTTATGCCATTTTCCTTAGCTGGCCAATCTCTGGGACTCTGGCACTTGGTGAACCACAGGCTAAGGCTGGAGAAACAGAGGTATAGACTCTTCTTCCCCTGCTCCTTTAAAACACTGAGGTTTTTAACACATAATGCAAGAAATGAACATATTCCCAAGATGTGTAGAAAACACCTCAAGTATTTGTTATGTTCCATCAGTGTTTATTCTAGTTTCTGGCATTTGAGGGAATGCATTATAACTCTTAGGACAGAGAATATTGGAAGACGCCCAACAAAATGTTAGTTTTCATTCCAGGACCTTCCTTGTCATAGTCCTCCCAGTGGGATGTTTCTTCTCTAACGAAGTTAGACCTAGCTGTAACTAGGATATGTTTTAGCTTGCAAACTGAGGATCAGAAAAAGAGACCAAGTAGCAGGAAGAAACTGCACCTCCTGTTCCTAGTTTAGATTCTAAACTAGGATTTTTCTATAGAAGTATCCATTCTCGTGACTTTGCATGGCTATATTTTAAGTGTTGTAATGGTGCAATAGTTTCAGATCAAGGCCTTGCACAAAGGGAAAGCATGCAAACTTTATTTGCCCAGGGATACAAAATAGCAAGTCACTGTGACCCTACATATCTGTCTTAACCTATGACCAGAGCTTGCTTTGAGGACATTGAAGCTGCACCTACATTTGCAAGTAGTGTGACCCAAGAGGAACAGATTTACAGAGCAGAACTGTTGGTGCTCAGGACTTGATATCCGTGCTATATGCAGTAAGGGGGGGGGGATTCATTTTGGATTAGCTTTATTCTGGTTCCATGCACTGGATACTCAGTAGTAGCTGAAGTTCATTAACTGTGTTCCTGGACTGTGTCTTCTAGTTTAGCTTCATCTGAAAACAGCTGAAACAGCTTGTGATGAGGATGAAAGCATTGTCCCTATCTGCAATCAGTCATTTCAAAAGTGTATTCCAAGCATGAGCTAAAACACAAATGTACATTCATCTTGAATTTTGGAGAGGCATCTAGACTTTCTGTGCAGGAGAATAATGTTTCTGAGTGGTAAAGACTGGTCTTCAACTGTTGCCTTAAGTTGTGCCACTGTTTTCAGTGTTTCACAGCAGCTCTCATAAGCATCTCCCCACAGAACATATTTGTGCGTTGTTTGTGGGGGTTGTTTAGGTCAGCTTTATTTGGAGACATCTGTTTGCACTCTAAGGAACTGATGCAAATTGAAGACTAAATTCTCCAACGGGAAACTGTCATTTAAGACACAAGTGATACTAAGCTCAACATTTTGGTGCCTATATCCCTACTTTAAATCACATGCAAAATATGTTTGAAAAGTGTTTATGTACCTTTTATGGACCTAAATACTTCTAAAATTTAGACATAACACCAGTAGCTTTATTACTTACATGTCCACTTTGCAAGTATTTTTGCAAGGTCCTATGACCTTTAATTAGTCTTATCAGTTGGCTGATGAGTGGTATTTAAGGAAATCTGGGAGTAAAGTAGCTATGGAAGAACATTGCTTTTGTCAAATATGCAACTGTATGTACTTTGAAAAGGCTTTATTTTAATTATAGTTTTGGTTTCTATTTCAGGTGAGGCTGACTGGCCACAAGGAACTGCTGAAATGGGTTGCACTGGGAGAAAAGGGAATGCTGATAGCTCTACCTCAATTAACTCTTAAGCAGTTACCATGCCAGTGGGGCTGGGCTTTGCAGCTGACTAACGTAAACTGAGCCATACACTCAGGTGGTAGCAAATTCTGACCCCTCACCCCCACTCCCCAAAAAAACTTCTCAGCACTGGTTTCTAAGTCTTGCTTGCTTCCCTGAGAAACAACAGTCATTTCACTTTTTTTAATAAATGAAAGATGAACTAATATTAAAGGATGGAAGGGAGTCTCATGAAGTCTAGTACTAGACAATTGAATCAGTGTGCAATTTGTTTCAGCACCTACCTTGACCTCTCCACTCCTCTTTTGAACAAGTTTCTTGCCAAACTATGTGAAGAGGTGCTACGTTTTTTAAAGCCCTGAGAACGAAGAAACCTAACTCAAGCCCCTGTTAAATTGATCAAGTGGCAAATGTAGCTGTCAGTGATGCAGCTTCTTTAAAGCAAGAAATACAACTCCCACAAAAACATACATTAAAGAACAACTGACAGTTGGAAAATAAGCTTTCCCATTGCTTGGTAAAAACTGGCAGTTGGTAGTTTCAGATAAGGAGGGTAATATACTTGCGTGAAGAGTCTTGTAAAGGTTAGGTGTTCACCACAAATAGGTGGAGGCAATGCATATTTACATCTTCATTTCTAATCATGAAACTCATTAATTTTATAATCTCCTACCTTTGAATAATTCAGTCTATTACTGGGATTAAGTACAGAATTTATAATCAGAACTAGGAGGGTTTTTTTAGCTGTTTTGTATCATTTTATAAGGTTAAAGCTGACTCTTGTTTAGATGGATTGTTTTTATGTGGTTACCAGGGTGCCTTCTGTGTACTATTAAACAAACTATCTTCTTCAGTCACCTTTTTTTTTTTTTTTAAATCAGAAGTTGTTAGGGATCTTCAACCTTGGCAGAAAGACAACATTTTAAGCAGAGGGTGGATTGTATCCAACTTGAAAAATCCCCAAACTCATGTGTCAGGATTACAAATGATAGACCTGCAGTGTGAGGTTTGCAAAGAGGGGGAGGGGTAGGTTAACAAAAAGCATAAGTTATTTCAACACAGGCTTATTTTTTTTAAGTAATAAAAATAAATGCAAAACTATTGCTCTACAAATTAGATTTATTCTCCTTTCAACTGTGTCAAAACCTTAAGTGATTAGGCCAACGACGTATTGCCTTTTCTGCTCTTAAAGTTATTACACACAGACTTTACATTAAAATATTTTATTACAATACAGACAACTGGGCTCAAAATTAATACAAATTAAGATAAAAATATTTACAAGTTATTGTGTACAATTGCTGTTTGAACAGCATAAACAAGAACTCTTAAAAATCCACATTCTTTAAGTATTAAGCAATACAGATACCACTCCCCCTTCCCCCAGCACATTGATGAGGAACGTGCATCAGCTGGCAAAGACTTTCTGAAGACTGAGACACTCTTTGCAATAACATTTCAAAAGTCAAGGAAAGAGGAGCTTTCCTTTATAAAAAGAAAAGCTTTGAGGAAGAAGAGTATGCTCTGTGCTATTCTTAGATCATTATTGTTAATGTTTTTTTTCAAAACTTACCCCATCTCAGGCAATTTTTTTTTTAAAACAACTACTGTTGTAATAGTCACAAGATACATACCTTTTGAATCAAATAAAAATAATCATAAATAAAGGAAGAATTTAGCCACTTTTTAATAGAAAAGTCTTTACATACGGGGATTCTTTCAGTAAGAGTACTTTAAATGGGTGTTTTACGTAGAATTCCATTAGATAGAACAAATGTGGGCTCACTCCCAACTTTTCCAGTGTGTATGTTCCCTCTGCTAGTCTACCGCTCCTACACCATTATAAAATTAACCCAAATCTCATCAGTAGTCACAAGAGATGTTATAAATACATGATCTATTCCTGTTAACGTGCAGTTCATTTCTCTAGTTGCTGAGGGGTACTAAAAGCTTCATACACATTAGCAGCAAAATCTTTCACTTGTTCCATCATCAACAGGTCCTGGAAGACATTGAAAGAAGAATTTGCTTAAGCTATCACCCACCACTTTCCTGTTCCTGCTGCAGTATTTAATTGCATTCTTCATGAGAAAAGCACCTGGCGCTCCCACAGTGATTTAACTCAAATTTCTTGTATTAGAAACACTTACGAGCAGAACTGCAAATAGAATCAAGTTGAGAGACTTTTCTGTGTTTCTACACAGTTTAGTAAGGGGAAGAGATTCTAGAGGAAAAAAAAAAGTATATTTTTGGAAGGTGCAAATCTACAAAAAGTTTAAGTTGTACCAGTTGCTCTTGCTTCTTTTTAAAGGCAATGAAGTCAAACATATCAAGGTATGTTATTAAACTGAAATTTACATTTCAAAATTTTATTTGGTATATTTCAAATAAGGAATATTCTTACCTGAACAAAGTGACTGGGAGTTTCACTGCATACTGAATGGATCTGTCCATTTATTATCGGAATTATCTTGGCTAAAGGAAGACTGACACTGGAAAGACTAGGAGAGAAAGAAAATAAAATGTTGACCGTGACCTGCTCCAATATTGGTAAAGCCATTAAACATCGTAATTACAACAACTAAATTATTACTTTATAGGTAAGAGTTGGTAGAATAAGTTTGCAGTCTTTGCAAAACTAAAAACGTACAGATGAAGTTTTGTTCCTTATCATGGCTTTCATTTATTACAGAGAACTACCAGAGCAAACTTAATCTGATATGTTGGTGTTCCTATTACACAGCTTTGCACTCGCTTCTCATGCAAGAGATACGTGGTTTAGTCAGAGCATGTGCGTTTGTGTGTGGGTAAAGAGTTGTCAGGAGTATCAGTCTAAAATCTCATGCTCTTTCTAAACTAGGCTTAGGACAGACAGCCAAACTAGAACCTTTGGGATATTTAAGTGATAACAATGGTATACATTCAAATTAAAACCATTACTCTTTTAGAACCATCAGTTATTCAGAGAAACATAGGCTTTGACAGGAAAACAACTTCATACAGAACTCAGCTCTTGAATTTGTAAGAGGGACTCTCACTGCATTGTTTTAAAACCAAGTTGACTTCAGAATAACAGCTATTTTTACATAGTCTGATAGAAAGAGAGGCAGAAGATCTCAAGTATTATTATCTTGTTCAGCATACCAGGGAAGAACCTAGCTTTCTGTTAATGCTTAGGCTGTATGTAATTGGACAATCATGGTAATGCCCAATTCTGTTGGGAGTTACACTAACTGACAGTCGGAGACTGGGGCACACAGAGCTTATCTGCCAACTGTAGGAGAATGCTATGCTCCTCACAGCTGCACACAGGGGTATTGCAGTATGTCTGTCAGGAGTCGTCACCAGTGGAGTAAGTCCCCCTTAGCTAGCAAGGCAGCCTACCTTTACAGTGATGGCAAAAACTGAGAAATATAAATCTTTTGATTTCTACTTTCAGATCCATTAGTAATCATGGGTGAGAAGAAGCATACGATAATCCCAGCTCTCTACTTCATCAAAATGAAGAGACAGTATTTGTTCTTAACAAGCAAGAAACAGAATTCTTTCCAGCATGAGAACTTCACATAGGCAGGAAAATCTATTGGTTTTTTTTTGGATTCACTACGAAGCCAAAAATATTATCACATCAGAACCACAGCAAAAGAGAAGAGTTACCTATTTACAGAGCCAGTCCGACAGAGGTCCTGTTCAGTAGGTCTAAAAAACTCGGCCATATTGTCCAGCAATCGACTGAATCCTCTGTTTAAACATGTGCTTAGAACTGTACCAAAATCTGGACTGAAAGAGTGAACAAATGTTGTTTTTGATTTCTAGGATTTATTTTTCCAAACTAAAAAACGCTATAATTACTCAGTGCTACAGATGTCCCTCCCATAAGTTAAGATGTACAACACAGATGAAAGGCCATTAGCATAGCCACCTCAAGAAATACTGGCTCCCCAAATAACTCTGTACAGAACGAGTCAACCTAAGATTAATGAAGATCACATAAATCAAAAGCATTCATCACTTGTCTATTTCTTATTAAGCACCAACATAGAAAGGGCTTTTCTCATGCTTAAAATCCTCCAGGTGTCTAGCAGCTAAATTATAAGAACAGTTTGGCATTTAGCTTAGTTCACTTGTATTCATTGTTCATTACAGAAGTCTTACTTTGGAAGCTCTCTTGTAAAAGGATGAATACAGACACTCATAAAACCACGCATTACAAATAAATTCTGATAAAGGAAACTTAAGCCAAAATTGGCGTTTATTTTATCAAAGCAAGTAAACCCAATGAAATCACTCCCAATTTACTGTAGTATAAGCAGAAGAGAGATACTCCTCTGTTCCTGCGTAACTACGGAAAACGTGAGGAAGGGTTAAGGAGATCTGGCTAAGACAGACATCCTGGTCATCTTGTCAAGGCAGGGTTATTTCTTACAATTGATTTGCTATTACTGTGATCAAATAGATTTTGTAAATGCATGGAAAAAAACATGGTTTTGTTATAGAAGAAAAAAAAAATCATACTCTAAAGAGCAAAAGTTTAAATAATATACTCAAATTCCACAGAGTTTCAGAGCTCTCATATTTCAAAAAATCCCAGCCTACAACTAGTGAATTTAAAATTGTAATGTAAATGTTAAATGGTCACATTTTGGAAATGAAAATTTCACCATCTTTTTATATGAAACCATTTTTTTTTTGAATACAGGATATTTCTCTATACCTTTCTAGCATATCTCTAGTTTCATTAAGTAATTTAATTGTAGCAGTGTCTTTTTCTGTGAGTCCACAGGCCTAGAAAAAGCAAAGACAGACACTGTTTAATAAGAAATCCATTGGCAACCATAAGAATAGCAGCAGCAACGGTATAGTTATACACCCTGGAGTCAGGTCAAGACGTGTGTTGAGTCAAATCAATTTAAAAACAGATTTTATATCCTGATAAATTAACTTGTTTGTAATTTGTACATGTTCCTTTTGATTGATAACTGTTTTAATTAAAAATATTAGAAATACCAGACTAACTGAGCAAAGTATGTTTTCTACTTCTGACCTCCAAAACAGATAAAACCTGCATATTTGCCTCAGTTAAAGGGATAGGTATATGTGGTCACTTACTGAAGCCTAAATTTCTTCCTTATACTAGTTTAATATGAAGTTAAGAATGAGTTTTCTCCAACTCCATGATGTGGATGGAAACAAATAACCTTTAGGAGATTTAGGAAACTATTTTTAATGTTACAACTGAGACTTGATACAACTTTCTCTCAACTCTCCTGTTCATTTTCCAATCCAAATCAAGATAGGACTTCAGCACACCATCACTTTCTTGTGCATCAGCTGAGATACTAAAATTGTCCATGATCTCTGCTGGTAGGCAAGTGCAAGGTAATATGATTTAGCTTAGCGCTGTGTTAAGCTGCCTTACGTTACAGCACGCACCACAGGCGAAAAGCAGTAATTTGGCTGTGCTGCTGAGTTCAAAACTGACATTCTGAGGATGACACTTGTTTTCAATAAAATCTGAAGGTACAACTTTACTTTGCCTAGATTAAAGAGATAAGGACACTTCATTAACAAAAGGACAGGCACTGCCATTTACCAAAGATAGTTACCGTTGTACAGTAGTACCAAAAAAAAAAAAAAGGCTACAAAAACAAACCAATTAAAAAAAAAAAGAAAAAAGGCAGATGAAAGAAATCAGAACAAATACCTGGCTAGCCAAGGGGTTTTCTTCATCTGGCATCAGGTAATGACACAGGGGAGAGTAAGATGCAATCTTATCTGAATCTTTATATTCCACTACTTTCCTGATATCTTTAAGTTTCTGTTCCAGCTCCAAAAGAGACAAGGTATGCTTAAGGGAAACACTGGAAAGGAAAAAGGCTACCGTGTTGATTGCAGAAATTAATAATGATACTTCACTAATTTATTCATAATGTGTTCACAAATGAAAATCAGTATGTCTCTCCCCCTCCCCCCATTTTGATAAAAGTCACTGTTTTGGGAAAAAGTCATCACAGTAAAGATAAAAAGCTAACCACAGAGAAACGTAGACTCCTACCTTCCAAAAACTTTATGTACAGCTTGTTTAACAACAGTTATTAACTCAGTCAGTCCTAGAACAAGAAAAGTGTCAAAATTATTAGAATAATTTGCTCAATTGTAGAAGGAAGTAGTATTTTATAAGTGTACTTAGCTTATAGCACCATACCATCTCCTAAAAGGTGCTGAATACTTGACAAATACTGCTGCTGGACTTCAGGGGGAGCTAGTGGTGTCTATGGGGAAAAAAAAACCAATAACTTTTGTAACATGCCAATAGCAGAGAGCAATGCAAAAATCCTTTCGAGCAGGTTGTGACCAATTTCCTTAATTTGTATAATATACTGAGCAGATTCCCCCATTCTCACGCCTCTGGAAAACAACTGCATTTGGTAGCTCTCTGCTGAAGAGAGGTTACTTCTGAATCAGAGCAGTTTCAAAGTATAGAATAAGGAATTTAGAAATTTCTTCAAAGAAAAGCTGAGGAAGAGGTTCTGAGAAAAATACATCATGACTTCCCTTCGGTCTTTTGCAGTTTACTAAGGTCTTCCTTCTCCCTTTCAATCATGTGTTCAAGTCATTACAGTCTAATCTGTAATAGCCAAGCACCTGCCTGTGAGTCTGGCTATTTTTTTTTCCTGCAGACTTTGGGGATTAGCAAGATGCCTCCTAGAATATCTAGGTACGTAGTTACAGGTTGTCAGATTTGCAGCGGGAGACAACAGTCTCAAATCTTGTTCTCTCTCACCAGTCACAGGCTGTAGCTTCCGATTCCTTCTCCCTGACATTAACCCAAGGGATCTTTCTTATATTCTCTAGCATTTTTCTCTTCCATACTATATAGGTATCTCTTCTATCTTTAGTGGCACAGAAAAGCTCTTTTCAGTTTGCATTCATATAAGGAAGTCCCTTAGAAAAACTGCACTGCAGGTGAAACCAGACCCTTCATCTCCCTATAAATTTAACCTAGCAGAATAAGATATTTAGGCTTAAGCGTAACAAAAGTCATATAACTCCCTATCTAATAGAAAATAAACTTTTGGAAATTGAGACAGGATCTCAGGTTGCTCCAGCATAGTGCCTTGGAGCTGATCCTGTCAACTTTCTCCTCTACTGAAGAAGTAACAGAAAGAAAATAAATTTATACTCCAAACTCAGCTTGCCCAAAAAACTTTTTCAAATTTTACAAAACAAAACGTGACCTCCATCATCTCTGCCCCTCCTTATGACAGCTTTTTCTAAAGCCCTCAGACATGCCTTGGCATGCTCCTTCTTGACTTTCAGCAG